TAACATACTATTATTATAAATACTAGATAAGCTCCTTTAATAATAATTATAGTTTTCTATTAAATAAACGTCTGAGTTAGTTTGATAAGTTATAATTTTTTAAAACGACTTATAAATCATATATTTATTGATATAAAAAGTAACTGACTTTAGTTAATTCATCAATAATATATACAGTTGCATTTTTTAATAAAAAAAGTATATTAATTATAGTAATAAAAAGTAACTGACTTTAGTTAATTCATCAATAATATATACAGTTGCATTTTTTAATAAAAAAGTATATTAATTATAGTATCTTAATAAAATATTAATATCGATATAATAGGGCCCAACCGGGTTCGAACCGGTGACCTCTTGATCTGCAGTGAAATGCTCTACCACTGAGCTATGGACCCTTTTATAAATAATTAAATTATATTTTAAATATTATACTTTATTTATGAAATTATATGAAGATATTACAATCAAAATATGGTGAATTACAACCAAATAAGACATGGTTATTAGAGAAAATGAGTGTCTTATATAATTGGGATGTTGGACAACACTTCCAACATTCTATGATACCATCAGTGGAGCAATTTATGACGATGCTTTAAAAGCAATTAATGGTTGGGTAGAACGACACACAAAATTTATTTTTTTTATATTTAATCATATATATATATAGAGAGAGAGAGAGAGAGAGATTATTTTATCGCTCCTATTAATTAAAATTACTACAGTGTATTACAATTAAAGTATTTGTGGTGTAATTAGCTCATCGGCATTTAAATTAAAAAAGTTATATTGTTGTCTATACTCTTTTTTTTTCAAAATATTTTTATATAAAATCAATCACATGTAATTTTTTTTATGTATACTATTGGTGATTAAAGAACATATAAGAATGTAACGTAAAATATAATTCAATTATATGATTTTTAAATAAATTTGTAAGATTTTATCCATGAAATAAATTCAATTCATATAGGAATAATATACAAAAATATTTATTTCTATTATCATATTGATCATTTACTTCAATAATTCTTTTTCATTTGAATACATCGATTTATATATATATATATATATATATATATATATATTTTTTTTTTTCATTCAGAAAGATTTTACGCAATTTCACACCGAGGATTGATATATTGGTTCGGTTTACTCATTCTTGAGATAAGTCATATCATACCCTTATTTAATAAGAATGAAAATGAATTAAAATAGTTTAAATCAATACTGAAATTCTTAAATATAAGATTTAAGTATGTAATTTGCTTCTTTAATACTAGGTGTTAATTTCAAAAGCATTACCTCGATTTTTCAAACTGAATAGCCTTAATATTTAAAATCAGCGTAGTGTGTATGTATATAGGTCTTTTAAATAGATATCAAACACAAAAAATCACATTAATAAATATTTTTCTATCTAAAAATAAAATATAAATGGTTAGAAATATCATATCTGTCTTATATTATTTAATATAATTTAAATATATAAGCTACTTCACATATTAACAATATTAAAACCTTAACATAAATATAAATATACAATTACAAATATAAGATAATAAAAACATCAATGTTTATTATCATTCATATTTTAAAAGTTCATTTAATATTTAAATAGTCTATCAGAATAACACATTTGAATACACCCATGAACAAAATTTAATAGCTACGACTACCAATCAACATGCATTGTAGCAAAACTAACAACACAGATTTATTAGGTTCAGTGCCCGTTTGATGAATAATTTAATAATTTCACATCCATTCGTGTTTTTTTTTTTTTAATGTAGGTAATACGTAACAACACATGGTAAAAGTATTAAATTTTTTTTACAATGTAATGTATGAAAATGGAGTTGGTAGGATGTGAACGTTCCTTTCAACTAGGAAAATAAAAAACAAGATAAAGTTGTAGAATATAAATCAAATGAATAAAACTGAAGAGATGGAAGATGGAAAGGAGAGAAAGAAGAAGAAAGAAGAAAAGAAAAAGGTATAAGAGAAAGCAGACGGGTAGTGAGGCGAGGAAGCTGGACCGCGAATCACGACACACATTTTTGTTTATGTCGAGGTTTGACGTACGTAACAAGATTTAACATTTTCTTTATTCATACAAATTTAAATTACTTAAGAGATTGAGGTATAACATGTTTCGAATTTCAAACAATATTCACGCAAGTACTTGGTTTTTGCCAATAATATATTTTTGACATGGTCCACTACCAAATCGTTAAAATATGACAATTTTTAGTGTTTGCATTTTGGTCAGAGTAAAAAGCGGTGTAAAAACATGATATGATTCAAACAAATGATTCCTCGATTTTTATTTTTTCTGTGATTTAAATGTAGATTCTAGAAAGGGATTGATTTGTGTTGGCAGAAGGCGAGAGAGGTACACCACGCAGACATAAATCAGTGGTTGGTGTAAAAAAGAAAATAAAATAAAAAATCCAGCGCTAGAGTACAACACTTGATACGCACAACAATCCTGTTAGAACTGCCAAGGGACCCACAATTTATTACCATGTTCATGTTTTTGTCTCTTACTCTCACCAATCACTCCTTTACTGCATAGATGGTGGAGTGTTCATTATGATTACTCTTCTACTGCATCAAGTGGAGCAAAGATGCACATCATTCATTCAACTTGCATCTTCCCATCTCAATCAACCCTTCATAAAAAGAAAAAAATATTTATTAAAATTATATAACATAATTGTCCTTTATGAATTCTACGAGGAAGACAGATAAATCTGTACATGCGGGAACTAATTTTTTTAGTTTCACCAATAAAAATCGAGTTAATTCCAGATGCCATAATTTTAATTTTTTTTGTGGTTTTAATTTTATATTTAAATTTAAATTTTAAAATATTAATATTTTAATTTTTTTTATTATATATAATTTTTTTATATTTTATTATTTTTACTTTTTTTTATTAATTTTTAATATTTTTATCTTATTTAATTTATTATATCAATTAATTTATTATATTATTCCTTTTTTATTTATTTTTCAGTTTTTCATATTTTTTTATCTCTCCAATCAATTTATTTTTTTCAATCTTTTCAATCAATTTTATAAATATAAAGTTAATTTTTTTTTCTTTTTTATTTTTTATAAATATTTTACGTAAATCTTAATAATAACTAATATTATTTTATTTATAATTTATATTTATTAAGTTTTATTATTTCATATTATTTTTTGAATCTTGTTATTTTTATTTGTTATTATCAAATTTTATCTTAATAAAATAATTATATTTTAAAAATTAAAAATAATTGATAATATAAATTTTTATTATGTTAAATTAATTAAATAAAAAATAATTTATTAAATATTTTTTATAAATTATATATTTCATATTTTAAAATGATAATTAAAAAAATTTATATATAATCAAATTTTTAAATACAATATTATAATAATAATAATAATATTATTATTATTATTATTATTATGAATATTTTATAATTATATAAATAAAAAATAAGTAAATATTTTTATGTACATATTTTAATATAAATATAATAAATTTAAAATATATTTAATTAATAATTATTATAAAATTATAAATATTTATTTATGAATAAAAAATCCATAAAATTAATTTATTATAAATATAATATTTTTTAAAATAATATAAATAGACAACAAATCTGAATAAAGCAGGAAATCTTGAAATCCAAAAAACGAAAATTGAAACTTAATTTCTAATCCAAAGAATATCCAAGACCCACCGTTGCCATTCCTACTTTAAACCTATTACAGAATTTTTCTTAATTTTGTTATCTGTACAACAAAAGATTATGTATGCAAAACAAATGTGGAAATGCAGCAGCCTTATATATGAAATTCAAAATTTCAACTTATTTAAAAGATACATACCACAAGCACATTATTAATAATTATTTAAAAGATTTTGTAGTTAATAGGATAAAACAAAAGACAAACACCTTGAATATCCTGAAACCTTGATATTTTTATTTATTAATTAACTTTTTTAATTGTTTTTTATTTCATCGACTTATTTACTCCTTTTTCTCTTATATTTTTTAATAAATTTAAATCATATTTAAGTTAATAAAATATTTTTAAAAATATATTAATAATTTAAAAGATGAAAATATAATATTTAAGCTTTCACAAATTTTGGGTTGTTACTGTTTATTTTTTAAAATTTGATAAAACATTAGACAACAAAAAGGTTTGTATGAATTTTCATCAATAGTTTATTCAAGTCAATAAAATTATTAAATGAGAAATATTATAATAAAAAGGACATGAAACCTTAAGAGTGGAAATGAAATAATGGATAGATGAAAAATTGTCTTGATTATTTTACATTTTGTTATGTATTAGTTGAAAAAAATAAATTAATACTTATTAACAACATATGCGGGTAAAAATTATACTAGCTGTTTCTTAATGTGTTTATGTTAATATAACGAGAGCTGTTAAAATATTTTTTGTTTAATAGATATCTGACAAAATAATGAAGAGTTAAAACAAAAAAATAAAATAAAATAGTGCAGTAGTAGTTGAAATTAAATTTAACCCAACTGGTTTAACATGTGATATAAATAAACTATAAACATGTGAACTAATCCATCTCATTAAAATAAATATATATATTATTTTAATATCAAATTATTAATTTTAAAATATAATTTTATGAACATAAATTAAAAGTAAAAGAGAAGAAAAGAAAAACAGAAGAAGATGCAGGTAGAGGACGCGAAATAGGATGCGTCACTTCGGATTGAGAATGTGATGAGACTAAGCACATCATCTTGACTTCCAGTGTCTGTAGTCTCCACAGCAACAACACTATTCATCTGACACTTGTGTACAAACCCTAGCAACCCTAGATCCATTCTCAATCACTAACTACTTTCTTCTTGTGGTTAATTAAACAAAAGTATCACCCTCACAAATTAGATAACCATCAACCATGCATGGATATCTTAGAAAGATAAAGTAAAAGATACATGAAATCTGAGAACGCTGCCCTGCAGCTTCAGGCAGAGAGTAATGATAAAATTAAAGTTTATGGTTTTTTAGCTTCTTCAACGTACGTTTGCCTTTTTCTCCTTCTATTTGTCCTCATTCTATTGCCATCACTTTATGGAAATTATGAACTGGATAAAACATCTTCTGTTGCCGGTTGGTCTACAAAAAGGATATCTTTTACCTTTCTTAATTATTAAATTATTAATTCAACATATTATACTTACATTTACTCCTACAACAGGCTAAATTTTACGGTCATAGACACATGATCTTGGGATGTTGACAAGATTGTAAGCATCTTTTCTGGTTATCACCATCTATTGTTGCCCGCATGAGCAACAAAAGTATATAGATAAAAGCTATACATACAAGAAAAAAGGGATGGGGTATCGTTGTAAGGATGAGTATATATATTAATGCGTAGTGATAAAGCTAAGTTTCTTATTAAATCGAGTTTTGTACAAGGACGAGGGTTTAAATTGATTCCCCAAATGATAAAGGTAGACTATGACATATGAGACAAGGGTAAAACATAATTTAAGACAAAGAAAAAATACTAAGGAATTATCTATTAACAAGCTTTACATTGATAGCGATATTTAAACTCGTGTTATTGTAAGATTCAATCCAACTTTTATTATTGTAAGACTAATTCATTCTTCTAGTAAATTATTTTCCATGCATACAAAAAAAATTAATCGAAACATCCTTTAAAGAAAAAATCAAACATGTACCTTACATTAACCATCAACTAAAGAAGAAATTTTTTTTTTAGTGTAGCTTGTCTCTCAAGATTGATTTGATTATGTTTTGGTGTTAAATATATCCCCTGCTCATAAATTAGACAGGAATTTTCCTATCCCTCCAAAAGGGGCATTAGCTTTTTATTTACTGGATAAATCACATTTAGTGTTTTTTTTTCTATTTTCTTTTATTTAATGATGTACCAAAACATGTATAATTTTGTATTGAGACATTTAAAAGTTTATAGATTTTTTCGAATTTTTTAATTTAGTTGTTTAAAAAGGGGAAAAGGATAAAGGAGGAATTCCCCATTTACCACGTGGCTTCGTCACGGCCCACTAAAAAGCCTGTAAAAGCCCAGCCACTTTACATTAATTACAAGTTCTAAACATCTATGAGTAAGGCCCACAGTTTGGCACTCCAAGCTTTCTGTTTTGACTCCCTTTTATATACCAACCCCGGCTAACATAATTTGTAAAGCCCACAAAAAGGTAAAGTGTACTTATTAAAGAAGGCCTTAAGTTACAGGAAAACGTACTTATTAAAGAAGGCCTTAAGTTACAGGAAAACTTCCTAAGGCTTTGATCCAGAGGAATATACACACCAATAGATGTTATATGTGAAGAAATCAGATCCTGATCTCTTTGCTGTGTCATTACACGTATATGATCTTTTCAGTAACAGGTAGCAACGATGAACTTGTTACACAGTTCGAAATAAAGAAAACAAAGTGCTTTGAAATGATAGATCTTTAGGAGATGGAATTGTTTACTGGAAAGGAAATTAAGCAAAATGATCATAGGAATTTTTGTTTGAAAACATAACTATGCTGAAGAAATTCTTTTATAGTTTAGATTATAGGCCAACATCCACCCCCATATGAATAAAAGAAGAATAGCTAGTCAAGGATGGTGGTTCAAAAAAGGTTGGAGTCACCATAGAGAAGTTTGATTTGATGCCTCATGTATCATATTATAACCAGACTAGACATTCTTCATGGTGTGTACTTACCAAATATGAGGAGAATTTTAAAGCTACTAAAAGAGTGCCTGAGATACATCAAAGGATTGCAAATTATGTAGTCAAGTAGGAATGATTGCAAGAAATTAACTTCCATGGATTTTCTGATAGTGACTCGGCAGGTTCAAAGAAGCAAGAAGTAGTAGCATAATCAACAACAGAACTAGAATTTACTGCTATTGTAGGACTATTAATCAAGCAATATGTATTACACAGTTATTGGTTGATTTGCACACGGAGCAAAAGAAAAGAGTAAGACAGTGAAGGTTCCATAGCAATTTTGAAAATCTAGTTTTCAAAGGAAAAACAAAGCATTTTCATATGAAGTTATAATGATTTCTCAGGAAAGTCCAAAATGAAGGAGAAGTTCAACTAAAATATTGCAGAACTGAAGAACACTAGCTTATATCTTTATCAAGCCTTCATTTCAAGGGAAGTGAGAAAATCTAAGAAAGAAAAAATGTTTTTGAAGTTAGCAGGAGTCAGAGAAGTACTGTTCTAAACTTATAACTATTCCTTAGTATCTACTGTAAAGATTTTTAGGAACTAATTGTTCAATTTTGACCTGGTGCTGTTTTTAAGATCAGATAAGCAATAGATTGGGAAGTAGTTATGAACTAGGAGTATGTATGGAGTAGCAATCAATGACCACATTTTGTTATTATTCATATTGCAGATTTTCTTTAATAACATCGACCTCGTTTACGTTAAAATAAACAACAATCTTAAGAAAAGTATGTTGGCTAAAATTCTTAATGACGAAGTAAGAAATTCATGTGTTAAGTGCCATGCATGATGTGTTGATTAAGTCCACTAGTAATCTCAGCATAATGGACGATCCATGTTAATCTTAGATTCTAGATGAAGTTATTGTGTTTGAAATTTCAGGCACATAAAGTACACACCTTTTCAAACGTGTGCTAACGAAGACCATATATTTAAGTTTCGTCCACCTTACGCACCCAACTACCTGCCTTGTTAATAAAACGGCGTGAGTGAATAGTTCCAAAAGAAGTTGCTCTATTTGCATGGCTATCTCTGCCGACAAATAATTGTGGCCTTGAATTTAGCTTGTGTGTTAAGTGTTCAGTTGGCTTTTGCCAGATATGGTATAAAGATTTGGAGGCAAAAAAATAACCCATCAAGTTGCAGGTTGGTTAATGTATTCTTGTACCTATCATTTTCGCATGACGTGTTAAACAGAAGGGTGGTTGATCCAATCATTGTCTCGTGAGTGGTGACTCATTTCATAATTGAGTTTCTTTCAATACGAGGCTTCCGACCAATCCTCCGCATCTTAGAATGAAGGGTCAAGAAGAGAGAAAACACACAAGAATAAACCAGCAATTATAGTCACATTCATGTTCCCATCCAACAAAGGAGATAAGACAATGACCCTTCCCACATGATAGTACTAATAGTAGTGCTTGATGATAAGGCTACAAGCTCCTTCTTTCAGTGCATTCCATCACCAATCAACAGATTTTGAAATGTCCTAAGGTTTGGTATGTGTACTAGGAACCTTTGATAAAAGACAAAACAGTATTCGACGAGCAGCAGCTTGCAAAAGCAATGGTCCTTTTATGATTTGATTTGGAACTGAGGACGAGCAGGATACTGGACTTGATTTGAGGAACATTTTAAATATAACTGGTTTTGATGTCAAAACATGATTATGTCAAATTATGAATTAATAATGTATAACCACTGACAGAATATGGAATCAATTGTCAGATGTTTCATATTCACCCTAGACCAGCCAAATAAACAGGGCATTGAACATTGAATCTTTCCCACACACCACACTGAATTCCTGAACCATGACCAGAGAGTATAGAGAAACTTTGAATTTTTATTCTATATTCAATTCTAGAACATGTTTATTTTGCCTCCTGTGTCATGTGTGGGCCGCAATTGGTAACTAGAATTTTCAGACTTTTTCCATTAGCTAAAGAAACTGAATAGCTTGCTTAGAATGTGAATTTGAGATACATATATTACTTGACTATTTTTGAAACTACAGAATACCCTAATGATTCATTCGGAGCGTTGGACTCATCAAATGACATCAGGTGCAGTGCATCAGTTTCACATGTTTGAAGAAAGCTTATTAGACCTTTCTATCTTTTGTCGATGATTTGGCATGTTTCTTAAGTTGTACAACCATGCTTTGTTCCATTAGCTCTTCTTGCTTTCTGTTTCATTCATTGGATTCCACCTAAAGAAAAGGTTATTTCTGAAAAGTTAGTTTCATGATCACTAGCATGCTGATTATGTTATTGATGGATCAATGAATGACGATTTTGGGAGTCAAAATTAACTGGTTTGGCATTGGGCAAAGGAAATACCAAACTGACATAATTTGACTAATTCAACAAAATTAGCAAAACTCGATAAATAAAATGGCAATTTGGATTGTTCCATCCAACTAATTTCGTAACCAGTCTTCCGTCAACAATACTAAAAAATTCAGGAGTACACTCGAAGGCTTATACTTTAGTTTTATGCGCAATAAAATCGGAAGATCGTGTGTTAAAGATAAGATTCTCTAAGATAAGGAATAATGTCTCCAAGCTAAGTTTCTTCACTACACGTCTAACACAAGGGTCTTGTTGTCTGACTCCATCCAGTAGCACTTCCAGGATTTGACAGGCCTAGAGATTCGTTTACTGCTAGAGGTAGATATTCATCGTTACAGTACTATGCTCTTTCAAGAGCCAGCGTAGGATTTGGACGTATGCACCTTCAGAACAAAGTCCATTGTTGCTTTTACCAAATTGACCAGCGAATAGTAAACATAACAGAGACATATTGCAATAGCACTCTAGTCTTGCTGGGAAGCCACACAAGACAATCTGGGCCAACAACAAACAATCTTCTTCTAGCCAAGTTTTCCCTAGAAGAAATGGCCAAGTTTTCCATTGCCTCATGCCTCATGTGAAGAGGAACCGTCTTCCAAAATTTAATGCTTTTCGGTAACTTTTTATTATCCCATATACACGGCAACTTTTATAATCGGAATACCAAATATTCTTCTGAAACATTTTGACATACTTTCCTATATTTCACATCTGGTCACGGTTATTATTTTTGAAACCGATGGTAGCAATATTCGGGAATTTTTTTCCTATTCATATCAGATTTGGGGAAGTTTTCATTTCCCACTACTCAACATGTTTTGGATTTCCTTGAAAAAACTTTACCCAGTTACAACAAGATTTTGGCGAATATGAATATATACAAACTCAAATGAAGAAAATTACAGTAGAAGGTCACGAATTTTGATCAGCCAAGTTAGTAAGTAGCATTGAGAAAAAAGAGAGAGAATTAAACATATATAATTGAAAGAAAACATTGAAATTTCATTCCTAACTCAGGGAAACGTAAAGAAGACATGGAGGCAGGGTTGAGAACAGTTTAGTGTACTACAATCACTACCCCCAATTAAACCTCTTTCTATCAAGGGGAATTGGAATTTGGTTGTTGAGATTCCAGATATCATCATCCCAAACAACATCATTGTACAGGTCAGTGAAAGCATCACCCCCCAAGAAGTCCATGTCCCAAGCAGGGACCCAAGTGGAACCCCATGACATTTGCTCATCCACCACACCTCTCAACCAAGGGATGTTCTGATTATTCTCCTCCCAATTCCAACCCATCATGCCACCGTCTCTTGCTCCTTGCTGCTGCAATAACCCACCAACCATGTCTCTGGTGCCTTCCTTTCTCTCCTCTTCCTGCAACACACTCTTCCCCACCTTCTGCTCAACCTCTTTCTTCACTTTCTTCTTCCCCATTGCCGCCACATCATCAACATTGGGAGGATTGTTCATGGGCCTGACAACACCGTTCACAGTCACACCTCTCTGCCGCTTCATATTGGTAGAGAAATCAAAAAGGGTCAAGCAATGGAAAAGCAAAACGAAATTGATGGTATTTATAGAGGGGGGTTACATAAGGTTGCAGCAGGTATGCAAATCTAGAGTGTGGACAATTTTGTAATCAAGTTGTGGTGGTGTGATGTAATGTGAGCAGTCCTTCTGGATTTTTTTGAGGGTCACAAAATGCATATTCATGTGGGTTACCGGAACCACCCTTTTGCTCTAATTTGGAGCATAACGACAACCCCCCCTTTGAAACAACGTAGGGGTCAAGTACCAAGTGCCGTAAGGAAGTTAGAAGGAAGTCAAACTCTTGCTCTGGTCCATTTGTTTTTCATAGGTAGGCCTAGTGCAATGAATTTTTCGGTGAAAATGAGGTCCCTATTTCTTTTATAATTAACAAAAGGTTCTCTCACTCTCTTTTTTTCTTTTCTTTTTTTTACGGTTATCACTGTTTGCCTAATGAATAATCGTGTTAGAATGATGCATCCACATGAGGGCGTTGCAAGTTGCTGCAACTTGCCCTCGCTCTTTCGTCAAATTGCTCTCTCCACCTTTTTTATAAAGATACTTTGTTAAAACTTGCAAGAAATCGAAAGAGTGCTGTCAATTTCTTTTCTCGGGAAGGTAAATCTTGTTGGGATGGAAGTTTCAAGTTTCAAGAAATAATACACAGAATATTTTTAGTACATTAAGCTTAAAAAACTTACTTGAAAAATTATCTCTAATAAAAATGATAAAAATGATGAAGGGGCAGAAGCAGCTACTGAGCAGCATTGAATTGAATTGAATTGAATTGAATGAGAAAGAAATGGATAGTGAGTGTGTCGGATGAGGGGGTGGTGTTGGAAGAAGAAGCATGGCATGGCTACTCCTCCTACACCTTCAACTGTTCCATGCATGCTCTCTTGCTCCACTGTCGGCATAAAGGCCAAATTCAATTGTGGGCCATTTTCCAAACAATCTTCACAACTTTCTTATGTCTTCTATCATAAAACAGCTGGAAAATTTATGGATGCCATCAAATCCCTTTTTTCTTTCACTTTTTTATTATTATTTAAAAAAAAATATTCTTTAACAATCTAAATTTATATTATTTTTATAAATAACTCTTTTTTAATATTAGAATAATAATTTTATTTTATTTTTATTTTTATTAAATTATTTTATAAATTATTATATTAATAAAAATGAATTGTTTAAAAAGATATATATTTTTTCTTGTAAAAATATCATCACTCTATTTTTTAAGGTTACTTAATATCCTATAACTGTTCATCACCACCATTTGAAAACAACTACTATCAACTCTCAATTGACTACTATATTTAAGCTATTATCTTAGTGGGTCAACCATGCACAATTCCAGAATTGGATATTTGACCCAATGGATTCTCATCCTCTGCTCCTACCAAATATTATGATTTTTTTTAAGACAGAATATAAAATGCTAATTAATAAATTAAATTAGGAAAATACAAATAAATATCTTTACAACGTTGATTAAAAAAATACAAAGAAAAATTATAAAAAGTATACACGTGTGCACGTGTGGAGGCGAATTAGATATTATATTTTGTCTATACATAATTTTTTACATGTATAAATAAATAAAAATCCTATTATTGATTAGAATAATCTTTTCTTAATCTGTGAGATTTTTAATTTAACGAAACACGGTATAATAAATATTTTTGAAGGAGGCATGAAGATAGATATTAAAGTATTATACAGCTGTATGCTTGGTTGAACTGAAGGAAGCAAGCAATTCCATGAATTGTGGACATTGTTTGCATTTCCTACTCAATGCTTCTCTCTCTCTCTTTATATATATAACCTTTCTCTCTCTTCATTCCATTGCAACCATCAACTTCACATGTCATGTTCTCTGTCTCCTCTCCTCCTCTCTTCTTTCATTTCTCTCTTTCATCTATTCCAACTACTATTTATACTTTCACAGCTCTTCACTATAATACACACAATACTTTAGATTCTTTGTGCCAAACTTTTAATCATCAAACGAAGAATTAGTATATATTAGAAACCAAATTTGTTAAGAAAACAATAAACATTTTCAATTATTTGAAAACTAAATACTAAATTATTTAAAATCTAATTACCTTTTGTCCTTTTAATTAGTGCCCAACATTCTTAATGGTTGTCCTTTTCTATTTGCATATTATGAGAGTTTTTAAATGGAGCATACGGGCACTAATGATGATATTTAGCAAATGTTAGCATTAGTATACCATAGATGACCACAGAAATTTTATACAGACACGTGTCCTTAAGAAATAAAGCTGAAATGAGTGTATGGTAGTGAACAGATACAATGCAGAATCGAAATTGTAATGATGGTACGATGAGGTGTTTGATGCCCTGACATATAGCAGTGCTCTCTGTTCATCATAGGCATGAACTGATGAAGCAGTGAGTGGGGCAGAGTAATTGGAGACAGAAGAGTTGGGACAGAAAGGGACGATTATAATGAATCTGTGTTGGACCGAGTGACCATTGTCAGATTATGGGCTTCTCTTACGTAATTATTTCGTTTCGGCCCATTATGTACAAATTTTCTCCAATGTGGGGACCAACATCATACAGTATTATCTCTAATAATTAGTGCCAAGTAAAATTGATGTCTGAAGCCAGATACAAAATATTGTCATTTCTAAACTTTTAGTTGTGGTTGAATTAAATTTCAATTTGTGATGATTAAATATGCTTTTAATTTAACTTGTAATATATTAAGTATCAAATTAATTTAAATTTTAAAACGTAATTTAGGTAAAAAATAGTTAAAATATTTAATACATATGGTTAAAATGTTAAAAAAAATAAGTTTAAACTGGCTTTCTGACATAAATTCTTAGGCAATGTTTTTTAGTGTATTAAGTATTAAATATGCTTTTAATTTGACTTGTAATATATCAAGTATTAAATAAATTTAAATTTTAAAATATAGGTTTCATTTATTTTAAAACGTAATTTAGGTAAAAAATAGTTAAATATATTTAATACGTATGCTTAAAATGTCTGAAAAAAATAAGTTTAAACTGGCTTTCTGACATAAATTCTTAGGCATGTTTTTTTTTAGTTTATTAAGTAGTTTGAATGGATGATATAACGTTTCACGATCCAATCAGGCAACCCTAATTATCAAATTTAGATTTTTATTATTATTGAAAATACCTTACACAACCAAAATAAGTTTACCTTAAAAATGATATTAACACTTTGAATGATTTTAAGAAAATAATTCTCTTATGTAAAAAAAAATATATGCTAAATGGCTAAATTGAATACTCCTTCTCTTTCTTATGTTGTTCAAGGTTAGACAAAATAAGGTAATAAAAATTTTTGTAATTTTTCATATAATTTAAACTAAAAAATATTTATTAAACTTCAATCAATCATGTTTTCAATTTATGTCATTTTAATATAGAATAAACAATGTTCAGTATTATATTTTGTATATTTAAGTGTAAAATTATGTTAATTATTATTTTTATCGATTACTATTTCTTACCAATATCATTGTTAATATATATTATTTAAAAAAAACGAAAATGATAAAAATATACTTTTTCATTACCACATTGGCACTTTTTCTCACAAAAATTTGTTAATAATAGGATTTTGGATGTGTACTATTATATCTCTTTGTTATTTATTTCTATAAAAAAGATGTTTATTATATTCGATGGATCTGACGTAGATCTTACCAATATCAAACATGGATCTTAGTTGAAATTGAATAAGGGTAATTTATCAGGAGGTCATATTTTTCTAGTTAGGTTGGGTCGAATCGATTTAATGTTATACTGTAAATTTTCTAACTCAATTAGGTTCCTGGTGGATTGACGGCCGAATAGAGAACTTTTTTGGTTCACATATAAAATTTAAATTGGCCAAAATAAAATTTAAATATTGAGTTAATAAATAATTATTCATCATATACTAAAATAAAAACACAGGTTGTTATTTACAATATAAAATAACTTCCACTACTACAAATAAAGCTTTCAACGTCGGTTTAATAACCGACGTTGTATCAGCGACGTTGAAAGTCGTCGGTTCTAAAAGCCGACGTTGAAAGTCGACTTTAGATAGCGGTTCCTCTATAACCGCTATCTAAAGTCGACTTTAGAATTTTTATTTATTTACAACCCCTTTACCCCTTTTATTATCTAGAAGTCTCCCCTCTCTTCCTATTATATTTTTATTAGGTCATCCATCTCTTTATATTATATTTTTAGAAATTTTTTAATTTTTAAGAGAATTGTCATTGGCAGGATTCGAACCCAGTACTTTAGAGTTGGAGGCTGATACTCCAACCACTAAACTACTTGAATTTTTTGATAATAACTTACAAATAAATTATATTTATATACAAATAAATATATATCCGTGTAAATATATACAAATAAACCCAGTACTTTCATCTTCTTCGCACTGATAATCCTCCAAAATTTTGTGTTCTTCATGCCGACGACCCTCCCAAATTCACCTTCTCGCTCACAATTTCACTCCCTCTTTGTGACCTTGTACCGATGACTATCCACCATTGTTCGAGCTTAATCACCTTCGTCTCTCCAACCCCAATCCTCCACCCTTCTATTCAGCTTCGAAGATCTTTAACCCAAGCATGCATCACCCGACCTCAAGCTTGAAATCCAACCCAGTGACCTTGAATCTCAAATCTGAGTGACCAAAACACCCAATCAAAACCCAAGCAACTTCGAATCTCAACCCCGACCTACCTCGACGAACTCGAGGCCGAACCCCAACTCCGGCGACATCGAACCCCAAAGTTCAAGCCAAACTGTTTTTATAGAAGATTTTCAAAACTGCTGGTTTAATTAATCTGTTAAAAGATTCTTTTAATCTGTTAAAAGTGCAGTTTTAATCTGTTAAAACTTCTTTTAATCCATTAATACGTTCTTGATTCTTTAACATATTTGTTTTAACTGATACTGCAACATTTATATCAATTAAAACACTTTACAAAAAATCTTCTAAGTTGATTTAATCGATTGTTTCGCAATTCAATCGATTGAAATACTGCAAAACTTTCTCGTAAAGCTTTTCAACTAATTTTAACTGATAAAAATAAGTTTTAATCGATTAAAACGTCTGTGCGAGAATTGTTTTAATCGATTGAAACGAGATTTAATCGATTGAAACGCTATCTAAAATGTATCTCGCTTGAGCGACACCCTTCTCGCTCGAGCGAAACTTTTTTGGTTCACATATAAAATTTAAATTGGCCAAAATAAAATTTAAATATTGAGTTAATAAATAATTATTCATCATATACTAAAATAAAAACACAGGTTGTTATTTACAATATAAAATAACTTCATACGATACATGATAGAAATAAAATGAAGGGTATTGATTGCAAGACTAAATAAATATAAAAAGTTAAAAAAAGAATCTATAAGCATGAAATATTAGCTTTCAAATAAACATGAACAATACATGTAATTTTAAATTTATTATTTTTAGTTTTATCAATTGTAAAAAATAGAAGGTAATAGATTAATCAATAGGTTGTCCAACTCATCCTCGACAAACCCATAACCATTATCTCTTGCATTTAGATAAAAAACTTGAATTGCAATTTTATTCCATAACTATTGCAATTTTTAAAATTGTAACATTTTTTTTCTATATTTATTATCAACATCTAAATTTTTACACGTTTTATAGATGGTCAAATTTGTGGGCGCTGTGAGATGGTAACAATGGAAAAACGTACAATTAAATTTAAATAAAAAAGTATAATATTGTGTTAAGTGATTTGCTCAGATGTGAAAAAACTTTAGGAAAAAGTGTATATTAGATAAACCTAATCCTATCATTAGAGTAGAATGAGACTTAACAAAATATAGGTAAATCTGTTTAGAAGGATTAATATGGCCTAAATGGACAATTTAATCACAAAAAGTGTATTTGATTGTTACATTAGTTTTTGAAACTATAAAAATATTTTTTTCTGAATTTTTTTTATGTTTCATTTTAATTTTAAAATTTATTATTGATTTTTTATCTTCAGTCTTAGTAATTGATACTAAAATCACACGTTTAGGAAATAAAAAAGTAATATGTATAAAAAATAATTATTTAAAATGCCTAAATAAAACTCTTAAAAATATATAAAAAAATTATTTATTTATTTTCAGATTTTAATATCACGACTAATACAACTTCAAACACTAAATTCATGGTTGACTAATTCCACAATTGATATGAGGGGGACCTTGATTTGTCGTGGCTGTCCTCTCTCTGGTTCTGTGTATGTCTTAACAAAAATAATTGTTAAAGAAATCACAGATAATATTGAAATTAAAAATAGAATTGAGATATATAATAATTTGACTTAAAATTAAAAAAAATGCATGATTAAAAAAATTGAAAACGACAAAGTTGAAACAAGACACCTTGTTCTTTAAAGAAAGATGTTAAAAATCTTAGTTTTTCCCCAAAGAACAAATTTTAATTTATTATGCAGAATTAAAAAACATAAAAAAATAAACTCTATTGAAATAACGGATTAATCCTTTATTAATTAAATAAAATTGTTGTAGTCAAACGGCATCTTCCAAAGATACCGGGGAGCATAAATTGGAGATAGTGACGTCCATCGTATAGCGTTTGTCTGATTAGATAACCATCTTCATCCATCAACAAAATTCTTTTCAATTCTCTTCAGTTCTTTGTTACATCCCGCGAAACAAAAAAACATAGTTTGTTTTCAGAAAATGAAATAAATTTTTTATAAAATTTGTCCCTGTTAATATAACATTGCAGTAGAATTAAAATACTGCTAGCTACAAACGTGATGGTACGTGAATGGGTATGATTGTTCCAATAAAGCTACAATATGCAGTGAATTGGACTAACAAGCCTGGGTATGGAGAAGCTCGTATCTCAAAACAGTGGTTGATAACATTGGACATCTGAAGGGTGACGTAGTTGTCGTCTTCAAGTTCAGGACTGGGCTTTTGATTAACCCAAATTTTACTTTCGTGTTTGTAAGGAGACAAAATAACGTAGACTCATTCTTGAAAATGAAACAAGTCTACAGTTAAAAATGAAAAATGAGTGCTGCATATTCTTTGAACGAAACAAGTTTATTCCATTAAAAATAACGTTAATATCTGCAACGTATTACACGGCAATATCTATATCAAGACCTATCAATTGGACTTTAATTAAAAAATATTTCATATCCTAATTAGAACGAAAGAAAGTGTTTGACAATTAGCTAAAAATTGTCAATCATCAAACTTGAAAAAGAAGTCACAAATATAGATATTAGACAAAAACAATTAGAATTTTCTTTGTACAATTTCACAAGGCTATACATTCATTTCTTGTTATTAATTTAATATATTAATGCACAAGCACAGACATCAAACAAAATAAATAACAATATTCACTCATTATCATAAACTTTTACAAAAGCTATCTACTATAACAACAATGAACTTATCATATAGAGATTTTTTTATTTTTTTATAAATAAGTATTAATATTAAGAAAGACCACGCAGTCTTTTTTGTCAACCACAAGATCTCAACGATAAAAAAATAATTTTTTATTAAAATATTGAAAAAAAAATTAAAAGAACAAAAATAAACGGAAACCCTAAACCCTGTTTTATTATTTTATTAAACAGCATCTCTGGTCCTTTTTCCTCACCCTGATATTCCAACCAAACATACCATTATGTTGAGATCGAGGTCAACAGATTCCAACAGTTCAGTGAATGCGACCACACATACAACCAGCGGAAGGATAGAACATCCCGGCACGTTAATGTGACCGGCACAAAAACTTTTTTACTTTGTCATCTCCATCTCGCCAAGAAACAGATCAAATACACGCTGCCCCATCCTAAATTCTATCTCATTTTGACCTTTAATTCTTTACCGTCTCTCTTCAATCCTCGCTTAAACCATAAGCAAAGCCAGCTATCAGAAATTAATTGGAATCATGATATTACAGACAACTTACCCATGTTTTATTTTCGTGCACCCTAAACCGAAAATTCTCAAACAAACCATTCTTTATACAAATTATTTTTTTAAGCCGATAGTAGTTACAACTTAAAAGACAGTGGAAAAAAAAAAACAAAATGAAATATTTCCATTCTCTAAAGACTCTTCTACTTACAAAATAAGAGAATGGTTTCCTTAAACACTAGACACAAGCATCGGGCTAAATCTAATACCGAAATCAGCCCTCAATCATTATTTGGAGACTAGACAATATTTCCCTACAGGACATACTAATGACATTTACATACACTGGATTAAGTGAACATATTTACAAAAAGGGACAAGATAAATGTGTATCACTTCATCTCAACTCAAAGCATCCAAAATTACTTCCGTGCTTATTGTATGAAGACTCTTCTTCTTGGTTGGTTATGTCTATGTTGTTGAACTGAATCCTAATATTAAAGAGGTGTGATGTGTGAGAAAAGGGATCTATGCAAGGGCAGGAATGCTGCAATTTCGCCTGTCCCTGTCAAGGCAATCAAACCCCTCAATTCTCACAGCAGGATTATTACCAAAATTGGCTCTAACACACCCTCCCTTCCTTGCAGAAGAAGAGGGAGACGGTGGCAGACCTGATGCAGCAGGAACCACCACCCACGACTGTGGTGAAAGTGGGGAAAAATTCTCATCCCCAAAACGAGCATCCTGAATCAAAGGGTTAGCTGCTCTGCTCGGTGGCGACCCGCAGAAAAATGGGGGCGACGAGGCTGCCACTGGCCATGATTGTTCTACATCAAAATCACCTTCCTGTAAAGCCATTAACACACAAAAACATTTCAATCAGAGCACAACCTTCACCACAAATCAACAAATTAACCTAAACCCAAGATCCAAAACAAAAGAGAAAAAACGAATACCTTGGTGAGTATGTTATCCAAAGGATTTGAACCAGACGAGTTTGAATCACATGGCTCAACCTGGCAACTGCAGAGAAACAAAGTATGCAAAACTTAATAATAATAATAATTAAAAAATATATAGTAAATAGTAGTAATAATTTTAAAATAGAATAAGGAGAAGAAAGGAAAACAATTAATTATATACCTGAGATGCCATCGGAAGGGTCTAACCGGGTGATCGTTGACTGGGAAGTTGAAGAGGCCGAGGCGGCGGGGCTTGGGGCAAACCACGCTAATCTCATCGTGGGATGGAACGACGACGTTTTGGATGGCAAACTGCTTCATCTTCTTCCTTGGATTTCTATCTATGTATTTAATTAACAACTAAAACCTGCTCCATCCACACACATATAGCAAACGAGGAAATAGTTAGGACGAGGCCAATAATCGAAAATTCAAAAACCGAAAACAATAAACAAATCATGCTTGTCAAACCAAATTCAGCAATATATTCCAAGATCGTAATAGCACATGATAACTATTTGAACAGCCCGAGGTTGAGATCTAGCCAAATTCAAAACCTAATTACAAAAAATTATTATAATAACGCCTAGAGCTTCTAAAATCTCAACCACCTAGCTCCTACCATGGCTATACACCTCACCTACAGATCTAACTACAACAATACAATTATTCGCGTAATTTATGTGAATGAAAAATCGTTATATACAACAAAAATCTAGTCAGATCTGGAAGAGGAAAGTGCTGGTTGATGGTAATTAAAAATAAATTTGAATTTTGCCAAAAATGGATCATAAATATTGAGAAAAGTAAGGATAACAGGTTAAAGGTTGCGAGCAGAGAGATCTAAAAGAGTAGTGGTAGTAGAAGCAGTACCTGTGAGGTGAGGTGAGGTGAGGTTGGGTTTGATTAACTAACTGTACAAGGTTGTGAAGAAAAGGAATTGAAGGAAGGTGGAGAAAAAGAGAATCAGGGAAGAGGAACAGAGAAGATTGGACTACGGTTTCCAACCACACTTCCTTTATATTTATCTTATATATTTATAATTTATTGAGGGAGATTTTTTTATTTTTTAAATATTGTATGGTTAATTCATGCGGACGGTGCCTCCCGCGACGTATCGCATCGATTTTGGCACCCTCAAACCCATTCTCTTTGCTTTCTCTTTCTCACACAGTAAAATGATAATTTTATGGGCATGAATGAATTGTGAATATTTTATTATGCTAAATTATTAAAGATGATAGAATGATGTGAAAAAATCTTAAATATCAAGCATCCCCGTTGGGAATGAGAATGACTCTTGTATGGTGTAGCGATGTGCAACGCGCAACGATTAACCTCCTCCCTACACGTGGCACCCTCTCAGACTTTTAGGACCCAAGGTCGGCAAACTCAAACTTTTACAGGGGCCGCTCCTACTATTCTTGTGGAATTTTTTATTTTTCTTTTAAACCATCCAATGTAGGGTTCTCCATAACGTATATAAACAAAAATATATATTAACTTCACTTTTTCTGCAACCTCTTCTTATTTCAATTTTTATTTCATACATCAATTAATTTTAATCTTTCCTTACCACGGGATTAACAAAACTTGCTGGTGGAATTTCGATCGATCTCAATTCTAAGGGTGTTTTGGTCCTAATCAAAATTCTACCATGTAAGTTCTTTTTGTTTAGGCTAGCAATTTTAATTTTCAATCGAAAACGTGTGTGAGAATCGAAAACTACAGGATATCGAAAATGCTGTTTTTTGTTATTTTATATTTAAAATATCGAAAAATTTAAGACTATCGAATCGAAAAACAGAATGTTAAATTGCGAGGAAATATAAAGTGCGAAAACCCCAAATTTGCTTGAATTGTAAATAGCAAGGAATCGAAAACAGCGCGAATATAAATGACAAGAAATCGAATTTGCAAGAAAAATAAGTGACAGGAAATCGAGATTTGCAGAACATTAAATAACATGGAAACTTAAATGCATAAACTCAAATCTTCATTGAAATGAGATGGACAAGGAATCGAAAATACAGAAACATAAGACTGCTGAATTTAAATTGCAGTAAATTACCAAGGAAAATACAGAAAGCGGTAAATGTACTCAGTGAGCAAGGAAATCCAGATTGCCAGAAACTTCATGGTGTTCGTCGTTTCTCCGGTAGACTTTTCACTACTGATCCTGTTCTCTGCCAATTTCTGCTCCCTTCTCTCTTCTTCCTCTGCACTATTTATAAGGCATTCTTCAAGCCTTCCAGGAGCAGTTCACAAGACTGATACCACGTTCTTCGTGCATAAGGCAGTTCCTCTTTTACGGTTTCCCACGTTCCCACGATCTTCGACTCTTCCATAACTTAGAAACTGCTTTCCATACGTGCGTTTTGACTATTTCCCTTCAAGGTCTAGCCGGGGTTTCGATATCCAAGTAGACGAGCCTTCCCTTCGATTTCGACTTAATCGAGAACTTTGCATACCTGTCATCGATTCATTCTAACCTAAACTTCATATACTTCGGATTTCTTGGTTTGTTCCATGTTAAACCTTCGACTATTACTCCTATCCTTCTGACTCTACCTTTCGATTTTACGTCCTACGTTCTTTATAATTGGACATCGAAAATGTTATCATCGCTTTGTTTTTTGAATTTCTTTCGTTCGTTTATCGATCATATTTCTTGATTTCATACTAACAAAATGCCCCCTTGAAAGAATATGACTGATTTTAGTTTTATATTCTTTCAATATTCCCGCCTTAGTGTTCGAAAGCCCACAGGATTTTAGGGTTTAGGGTTTCTGGGGTTCTAGGGTTAAAAGGGGTTCTAGGTTACTTTACGTCGCCGTCTCGTCAGTCTGTTGCCTTTCAGTACAAGTTACATTAATTACCTTTCCTTTCCGTCGTTTCCAACTCCCTAGACAATTTCCCTTTAATCTTTCTTTGGTTTTTACTCTGGACTTTACGCGAACTATCACCCTCTTTGCAATCTTCTCCTTTGAACTCCTGCCTTCGTCCCTGTTACCTTATTCACCCTGTTCCCTGTTTTCCTAAGCTTACTCCAATGGCCACTTCGTCCAAGTCATCTGATTTCTCGACTCCCCCTCTTGCCTCATCTGCTGCTACTTTGCTAGAGATTAACAACCAGAAGTTTGCTCCCCTGCCTCTAATGGAGGAAGCTTCCAAAAAGATTGCTGAAACGCAGGTATTAGTTCCTTATACTGTTGAGGGGGTTGGTTTTGCTTTTGGGGGCCCCATTCTTTCTGGTAGTGAAACTGTTTCTCCCCTCACCCTCTCGCACAGCCCTGCTCTTGTGCATCAGCCTGAGGTTAGGATCGATTTTCTGAACCTTATTTCTAAGGTGTATCGGACAGGCCCTCCCTCTAAAAAACCTTTGTTTACTAAGTGGTTTGATAGGGTCAAAGCTAAGTTTGGGAACCATTGGAGAAACGTAGGGATTTTCGATTTTTTGCACTTGTCTCAATGTGACTTGTCTTACTTAGACATGGCTATGTTTTTGGCTGCCGTACATTTATGGAACAAGGAAATACATGCATTGGAATTACCTTGCGGCCCTCTCTCACCTACTCTTTTCGATGTCGCAGCCATCACTGGTTTTAAACCTATAGGGGAAAGATATTTTCAGGGTGCATTCCCTTCGGATAATTCACTGAAGTCAAAAATTGATTGGGAGTCGAAGGCTTATGGGCATTTCCTTGAGAAACATTTTATTGATGACCCTTCGATAGCAGTTACTGACGAAGAGCACGTAGCATTTTTGGTATATTGGTTGTGTACCCATGTCTTTTGCCCCCGATCAATCCAAATTTCCCCCCATTTATTTAACCTTGCATATCTCCTTCATTTAGGCCAACCTAACCTATGTTTAGCCAAGTTTCTGTTAGCGCATGTATATACTGCTTTCGACGAAGCTGTCGATATTTTGAGTACTCCTAAGGCATCGGGGAATTTTTCTGGCCCTGTTTGGTTCATCCAGTTATGGTTAACTTCGATTTTTGAGAGCATTCTTCCTCGATTTTCTACTGTCCCCCCGAGTGTGAATATAGAAGGGGCCCGATTATCTTCTCGCCATCCTCGCCATAAGTCTGACGAAACTACCTATTGTAAATACCTTCACTTTTTGTTAACTAGATTCGATTTCGATTCAACCTTGGCCCCTTTTACTGTAAATCTTGGACGAACAAGTGGCCAGCTTAGGGGGCCTATTTGGTTTAAGTCAAAGTTTCCTGCTTCAACTCCTGGGTTGCAATTAGAATTGGTCGATATATGGAGTAACTACTTAACCCAGGATATATTAGTATCGGGCTTTCACCCTAAGGATTTCAAGTTCACTACTTACTACCCACAACTTTTTTCAAGACAATTTGGCCTGAGCCAGTCTTTGCCCTTTTTCCCTTTAAATACCTTCCCCAAATCCAAATTGACTGAGTCGAACATCGGTCGAGAGCTTTCCAAATTTTTGCCAAGAACTTCGATGCATCTTTATCCATATGTATTTGAATCGAATTATTTATCGACTGTGGAATTTTCTCAATGGTGGACCAATTGGTTTTCGAGTAATCGTGCTGTTTTTGACGAGGTTCGACAGAAACTGACTGCTCGTCCTTCTCTTGTGTTGCAGGACAAGTCGAAAGGGAAGAAAGGTACACACTTCCACTGTCTCCAAATATCTCGATTCAAGAATTTTTATCAAATATGTTATACTCCACTAAAACTAGAATCGACCTTTTATGATGCTGTCATTTCCTTATCCCGAAAAACAGATACCAATAGATCGAACCACCAAATAATTAATCCCTTAGGGAAAACCCCTTTTGAAATGTATTGTCCCAATCGCCTTCCCACTTTTCCTACAGCACCTTTTGGACTCGCAAAACCTTTAACTCATCCCAAATGGGTTCGAGAATTGAGAACCCTTAAAGAAACACGTCGCCCAAAACCTAAAAACAAAGACATTTCTGTATCGAAATTGTTTTACTTTCCTTACCTTAACCTCCCTGAAGCTCTCCTGCCTCCTTGGCTAGTACATATTGATCGAGTCAAAATTTTGACCCCATCACCTTTTGGTGAGGTTTTATTGTTTTTTCTCAATTTTCAATTCTATGTTTTGGAAGCTGACTATCTTCATTCCTCGACAGTTTCAAAATCTACCAAGGTGGTCGCCTTCGAGAAGGCACAAGAGACAGAAAAAGACGTCAGCTGGGAGTCCCAAGATGAATCGGACCCTCCGGCCTTTACCAGAAAACGAAAACAATCGGCCACCACCACCACGTCGTCTTCGAAAAAATCGAAGGTATTTTTCTTTTTGTCTCATTCATTTTCTGTTTATAACATGTTTCCTTATGGGTTCTTATATCTCTTTTCGATTTCTTCCCTACAGAAAAAATCGAAGAGTCCACGACCAGTCCAACCATCCACAGCAGATCCATTATCGATGGATTCTAACACCGTTCTCTCTACGGGTCAAACAACACCCGTCGCCCATTCTAGTCACGTGAGTTTCCTTTTTCTCTAATTTCCATGTCTTAGATTTTGATAAGACTTGTATCGTGACTCACATTTTCGATAAAATTTTTTAGGATAATCCATCG